AAATGGGCTTAATGTGACGAGTCGCTGGCCGATGGTCCAGATTTCGGATATACAAGCCGCTGCTGCTCCAGATTGAGAAATCATTACTGCGATGCTGATGCTTCCGGAATGGAAGGCGAAACAGCTACTCCTGGTCAAACCCACCGGCCAAAGAACCTGGAGATGACCAAGAATATCCTGAGGTAAGTATATTACAGGACTCTGCTCCAGATTAAGGTTATCTTGCGCTGAAGCTCAAACGCTGGCACAGGATCGAAAACATTCGAGACACTGTCTAACACGTTTGCCTCCGCTACCCGAAAAAAATAAATGAGCATCGAAACAGACTGACAGGGTATTAAGCTGTTAAGAAACGGACAACAGCTTAAAAAATAGCAGCTAAATGCCGTTTGCCTGTTTTCAAAACTTCAATCTTTGCAGCACAGATAATTCAGCATGCAAAATACTAAACATCGTCAAGTAACAAAAAAAGAGTAAAGCCGCCTTAACGGATAGAAAGTTGCCACGTCTAAAACGATCAAAACAACATTACGTTATGTTGCCATGCCAGAAAATACATCTTTCCACTCAGTTCACCCCTTGACAGATCTGACGGCTCGCCTTAAATCAGTACAGGACGCAAACTAGTAAAAATAAAAAACAAGCAACATTCATCGAGCATGGAAGTGAATAAATTTCGGCTCGTATGAACCATACCCCCGAAAACCTGGGAGACGTTGAACATTGAAATCCCAAGATCTTTGACCGATGCATCAACAACACCTGTTCTGAGTTATGCGAATTCGTTCACTTCAAACTGCGTCCTGCGTCAATGAAGAAAAAGTTTAAGGATGAATTAAATTTAATATGTGGCTCACTCAAACTCTGGCTACATTTTAAAACTAATGTCCTTCAAGAAAATTTATAAAGGACCCAGATACTGGTTTTGAATCTTCTTCTATCCATTTTTTGGTATCTCCTGTTCGAATCAACGGCCCCCATATTTTTCAATTATGTCCCAGAGTTTCACGTTGTCTTTTTACGACATCATAGCACGTTTTCCAACGTTTGGTCTTGGTTTTCTTTTCTACCCTGGAGGAAACGATACTTGGACCACATTTCCAACGTACTTGTTCGGTCTTTTTTTCACGTCGCCGAGCCAACAAAGCGTGGTTCGATAAGCTTTTCTGAAATTAGTGCTATTCCCAAAGTGGACGTTTTCGCTGACACCACACATGCATTTGAGGCATTGACATTTGTATGCAGTTCAGCTGTTGTTCGAGTCTGGTGTCAACGAAGTCACATATTCCTCGCCGTACAGAAGCACCGGTCTTACTACCGTTCTTTACATATTCGCGCTCAATTCGATGAGCACA